TCTACGTTCTCACCAAGGGTCATCATGGGACTTCGGGACATCCTGTATACATTATTCAACTTTATTTAAAAATCACTGAAAAAAACTAATTATATAATATAACAAAAAAGAAATTATTTATTTATGAGTGTTTATTTATACATCAGTTTATTTAATAGAAATGTACAAATAAAATGAGATATATAAATATTGTACACACACACACACACGCACGCACACACACACACAAATATATATATGTATGTATGTATGCATGTATGTGTGTGTGTGTACATAAGCGCGCACACATACATAGACACACACCCAGTAAACAATCTGCGCGCAGCTGACGTCAAACTGGCGATAGGATCTGTCGAATTCGAGCAGGATCTGCCGACAGATTCATAGATATCTGCGTCCCCAATCTGCCGTCAGACTGTTGACAGAGTCTGCGAACAGACTCTGACGACAGACTGGCGGCAGATTGCGCGGAGAGCTTGCCGACAGACTCTGACGGCGGATTGCGCGCAGATCCTGTCATTTCGTAGATTCTTTAGTTAAATTTTTGGTAGAAAATTTTCTCATAATTTTTCATAATTACTCATAGAATAAGCGTTTTCTCATAAATACTCGTAAAATACAATGAAAAAAAAGTTTTTCTATATTATTTTTTCATAATTTTTAAGATTTTCTCTGGTGAGATTCGAACTTGAACCGAAGACATTTTTTGTATAATCGTCTTTCGCTTTAGACACTATGTCAATTCTTCACTTGATAAAAAGCGCTGTGTATTGCCCATTTAAAGTGTAAGGAAGAAACATCTTGTGGTTTCTGCACACAGGACGCGGTAATGCTTTCCGCGCAGCGGAAGTCCGCGCGACAGCCAATCAATATATTGTTTTTCCGTAATAGCTAGAAGGTTATTACGGAAAGCAGCATATTAATTGGCTGTCGCGCGAACTTCCGCCGCGCGGCAAGCATTACCGCGTCCTGTGTGCAGGAGCCATTAGAGTTTGTTCGTCTTTTAAACCGCAAAATATAGACAAAACCGTTTAGCGTATAAATAATGTAAGAGAGACCGTCACGATAATTCGAAATTAATTTTCTACCAAGGACTGTATAGAAAATTACTGCAATAAAACAGTAGATAATGACATTTTTCCATCATGCTAATAAAATATTGTACTTTTACATATGCGAATTAACTTGGTCAATTGTCCAGTTCAGATTGTATTAAGTTTTATCAAAATCGAAGCATGATATATTTTCAAATAAACCATCACAAAAATTTCGTAAAAGTTATTTATATAGCGAGACTAATATTTTATTCGGTGCTGCTGCCTTGAGTACTTATTGCATGACGGTTAAATCGTTTAGATTTAATGACATAATAATATTAAAGAAAATAATAATATGAGAAATTATATGAAAAATTATGAGAACAATTTTTACCAGAGATGGCATATGTACGCCTTTAAATGTCCAGATAGAAATGCGTGATGATCATATTTCATCACAATGTGACTTCATACTATGGGCGGTATTCATAGTCGAATCATATTTCAAGACCGTCTTAAGTAATGTCTTAAGATGCGAATACGGCTCTGTGATTGCTTCATGACATCTTAAGACAGTACTTAAGATGATCTTGAATGTAAGATTGGACTATGAATCCAATTTGATACTTTTTTAAAGATCATTACGTGATCTCATGACATGAGCACCAGATGCACACAAATGATGTACAAATTATGTTGCAAATTTTTAACATGATGTTGATTATTATTATTAAATGAGGTATTTTTGTGACATCATTCACAACATCCCTTATAGAAATATCATACTAAGAATCATTGATAATTACTTATTATCCAGTATTTTTAATACTGAAAATAAGTAATTATTAATGATTCTTAGTATGATATTTCTATAAGGGATGTCTACATTCTGAGGCGCATATGAGCCCGCATCGGTGTCTATTCTTGTCCTCATGCTTGAAGATACATGAATACAGTATGAGCTCAGAATGAACACATTTTTCTACCTGGGAAGTTACAGACATCACCATCTACTACTATTCATGACAACCCAAAGCTACCTAATGCTGTCTCACGACTGTAAGCAGTGGGTTAGGCAAAACAATACCGCCCAGATAGCCAAAGCTGTGCGAGCAGATTTTACGCAGAGTCTATCAACAGTGTCTGTTGACAGAATGGCAACAGACTGCACATAGAAACTGTTTTAGCAGTCTCTGACGACAGATTGGTGACAGATTGCGCGCAGAGCCTGTCGACAGACTCTGACGACAGACTGACGGCAGATTGCGTGCAGATTCTGTTTCCTAGGTAGGCTATTTAATTCTATCAAGGGCCATATGTACGTTATTGAATGGGGCACCCTTATAGAAATATCATACTAAGAATCATTGATAATTACTTATTATCCAGTATTTTTAATACTGAAAATAAGTAATTATCAATGATTCTTAGTATGATATTTCTATAAGGGCAGTTTCACATACACACCATGTAAAACTGCTGCAGAGAAGTCAAGATAATTATATTGTGCAATAATTGTACACATATACAATAAAAAACAATGTTTACATTTTAAAATTGTATTACATTTTTTATAAAAAAGCAACAATAATAGAGAAATAACGAGTACAAGTATAGAATAGTACTACGATTAAATGGCTATTTAAAGGCGTACATATGTCATCTCTCATAATTTTTCGTACAATTTCTCATCTTATTATTTTTATAAATGTTGTTATGTCATTAAATCTGAACGATTTAACCGTCATGCAATAAGTACTGAAGGCAGCAGCACCGAATAAAATATTAGTCTCGCTATGTAAATAACTTTTACAGAATTTTTTTGATGGTTTAAAAATATATCATGCTTTGATTTTGATAAAATTTAATACAATCTGAACGGGACAATCGACCAAATTAATTCGCATGTAAAAGTACAGTATTTTATTAACATAATGGAAAAATGTCATTATCTGCTGTTTTATTGCAGTAATTTTCTATACAGTCTTTGGTAAAAAATTTATTTCGAATTATCGTGCCGGTCTCTCTTACATTATTTATACGCTAAATGGTTTCGTCTATATTTTGCGGTTTAAAAGGCGAACAAACTATAAGATTTTTCTTTCTTAAACTTTAAGTGGACAATACAAAGCGCTTTTTATCAAGTGAGGAATTGGCGTAGTGTCTAAGGCGACGGACGATTATCCAAAAAATGTCTTCAGTTCAAGTTCGAATCTCACCAGAGAAAATCTTAAAAATTATGAAAAAATAATATAGAAAAACTTTCTTTTTCATTGTATTATATGAGTATTTATGAGAAAGCGCTTATTCTATGAGTAATTATGAAAAATCATGAGAAAATTTAATTGAAGAACCTAATAAACGACAGGATCTGCGCGCAATCTGCCGCCAGTCTGTCGTCAGAGTCTGTTCGCAAACCCTGTCAACAGTCTGGCGGCAGATTGGGGTCGCATATGTCTATGGATCTGTCGACAGATCCTGCTCGGATTCGACAGATCCTGTCGACAGTCTGACGTCGTCTGCGCGCAGATTGCTTACTGGGCGTGACAAATACACGAGATAATAATTTTTTAAAATTATTGATTATAAAATTATCTGGTGTTGTTTTATAAAATTTTATTTATTCTTAATTAAAGAGTTCCCTTATAGAAATATTATACTAAGAATCATTGATAATTACTTATTTTCAGTATTAAAAATACTGGATAATAAGTAATTATCAATGATTCTTAGTATGATATTTCTATAAATGTTATATAACCATTAAAAAATATATATTATATTTTTCAAATATTATTCTAAAGTAAAAAGTCACACAGTTTTAACCTATTTGCAAGTATTGTTTTTACATGATTCGTGCATGTGCAAGTCCACAATAAATTATGCTATTAGGGTATATTGATGACAAAACAA